AGCTAAAGGCCTCAGATGATTATGGAAAAATCTTCTTCAGCGACAGACTCTGCATTGAATATGGTCTTTAGGTGTCTCTAAGGTTCCTTAAAACACTGCATTCATAAATGTCATCCACTTCAGCTATATCTTCTAAAGCTTAGAAAGGTGCTATTATTGATCACATATCAATGCTTGGAGATTATCTTGCACTCTGACCTATGAAAAGTCCATAGAAACAGCAATAGAGAAGGGAAGAGAAACCCAGTTCATAAACTGCCTATTTTGTGCTAGGCACTTTACATTTCTCTCATGTAGATATTCCCCACAATCCTATGAGGTGGATACACTTATTCCCACTTTACAGATGAGGAAAATGAGGACCAGAGAGATTAAATAATTTGCTAATGGTCGGGTAACTAGTAAATGACAGAAACAGGATTCAAAATTAAATTAGATATGTCTGAATCTAAACTGTGTCACCACATATTGCCTACATTTGGTAAAGAAGGGAGCATGAAAGGTGCTCCACTGTCTTGTCAATCATGATGCCTTCATATAGGAGCTTCTAGAAAGCAGACATGTGGTTGACCCAAGCCTGGTATCCCAAAACCCAGCATACTGACAACAACAAAAGCTAAAAGGGCAGAGTCCAGAAGATATATTGAATAAAATGATGGATACTTGTATAGGTATATAGATGGGTATGAGAGAGGGAATGGTCAGGGGCCCTCCGTCCTATTTACACACTTTACCCACATACCCATTGCCTGCAAATGTCAGACTCCCAGACAGATCTGTCATGTGCCCTAGTAGCTACAGCAATCATTAAGATATGCCACTGTATTCATCTCCAGGACTTTGAGAACTCAATGAAAACATGGGAGTGCAAGCATACTGAAATTCAAGCTGCCCCTCAACCCCAGCTGCACTCCCAGGACTCTCAAGAGTGCCTCTCTGATGAGGAGTATGCCCAGATGCAGCACTTAGCTCGGCTTGCAGAAAACCTCATCAGCAGGTAAGTGGACTGGCCTAGATACAGAGCTGAGAATCACAAGAAGGCATAGGGAGAAGAAGCCATTTTGTATCTATTGGCCACCAGGAAGCCTGGCCTCAGAGAGGAATTTAGCTTAGAGCTCTAAAGATTGAGTAGGACTCTCACAATCCAGGCAGGAAACATTCTTTGTGCTAAACAATAAGCCAGCTTAGACATCTCTCATTAGACCCAGGGATGAATTTGGATCTCTTGATACTGCTCCAAGCCCAACCAGAACTAAGACTGTTTACCCTTGCCCCTAAATATCAGAAGGGCCTTAGAGTTCCTGGAGTCAGCTGCCCGCCTCTATTCTAGCCTCCTACCCTCCCCAAGGTCCCAGTACCTAAATTCAGGTGAGACAAGGATGAGTAAAGGTAAATACCTGGAGAAGAGTAGAAACATTTGTTAGCATAGGTAGCTCCCTAGAGAAGAGCAGAACAAAAAGGAAGGAGTCATGAATCCAAGTCAGGTACCCAGGGCTTTAATTTCTACTGTTACCCAAACCCTCACCAGTGCCTCAGGTCAGAAGTCCTTCAGAAATCCCAACTCATCTATCTGTCCTTGCTTTATTACAGACTTAATGACCTGAGCAAGGTCCACCAGCATGTATCTGTCCTCATGGATTCTGTGAATGCCAGTGCTAACGTCCTGAATAATACATTTTATGGCCAAGACAGTGGCAGTGAGTTGGGCGCAGCTTCCTGTATTCCCATTGAAGTAAGTGGAAAAGGAGTGAATTAAGGAAAGCAACAAAACCAGATAGGAAAGAGGATGAAAGGGAGGGAAGTGGAACAAGAGGCTAGGTGGAGAAATTGGGCAAATATGGCAGGAAACTGATGGATAGAGTGGATGGGAAGGCAGTCATTCCTTGACTTGTTGCAGGTCCAAGTTGGTTGCTGAGGGAAAACCACAGCAAATTTCATCAATCTGAGAGCTAGCCCTCTTCCCTAATAGCCATCCACCACACCAGCCTCAAGGGAGAAATGGACAATGAATGAAGAGAAACTTGGCCGTGGCCCTTCCTTATCCCAAGTAGATCTCTGTATAACCGGATAAGGTGACACATGTCACTGAAACCAGAACTTCCGGATGCCTTGGTTTTCCTCTTGAGGGAAAAGTCCAGATCAAGCTGGACACTTAATGTTAAATGTGCCATCCCATGGCTTTGTCCATTGCCAGAATTGTTCCGTGATGCTTTTAAAAAGTAACTTTAGTGCTAGGCGAAAGATATAATCGTGTCAGAGCCTGATTACAGTTGGAGGAGGCCTGCAGCTCAAGGTCTTAGTTGCAGGAAGAGAGATGGTCGGCCCTAATTCCACCTGCCCTGAAATGATGGTTTTTGGCCTAGAGACAACAAGTGGCCTTACATTTATTCTCTTGTTTGCATATTTTCTATTTTCCTATACCCACTGCAATAAATCAATGATGCCAAAGCCAAGTCGTGCTCTGCCACTTCACATAGTAGTACACAACTCCTGTACCAGCAGTTGTCAGCTTGCACTGGTTCAGATTGGTTGGTGCTCATGCTGAACTAATTGTGCTATATTTTGAATATTGCTTTTTCACCTATAGCCACATCCTACTAGCCTCCTTCTCCCTTCTCATGGAGAAGCCAGCTGCATGCTTACTAACCAACAACTCCCCTGTCTTTGTCTTTTTCTCTCCTTTTCCTTTCTTCTCCTCTCAGACTCTAAGCAGAAATGATGCCGTAGATATTACATTTAGTCTTAAAGGACTCTATGATGACACCACAGCTTTCCTGGATGAAAAGCTGGTGAGTGCAGGGGATTGAAGCATGGGAGGGCAATGTATTCCATCTGAACGTGATCATGGTCTTGTGCTTGGTCCAAGGGCACTGGAGACTTGTGGGAGCATTTTGGCCAGGTGCTTGCCTGGAAGTCCCGACTGTGTCACCTAGAATTGTTGTTGATTGTATGATTTCATGGGTTTTGCTAATCCATAGAGATTACCATATTCTTGGGAGAAAGTCTCAACCTGTCCTTTGGTAAATGTCTTGTAGGTTCAGACCAGGCCAATAAAAAGTAGAGTGTTATCGTACTTGATTCAGCTGCAGTAGAAAAAGATGAGCTCTTTGAGCTGATTTGTACCTCCCAAGTTTCTACATGCCTCTTTCATGTAGAAACCTGTGAAAAGGTGGTGTGGATAAATAGAAATATTGAGAGATTCTTGGGTTCAAGTCTCAAATCTACCACTTACCAGTTATTAATATATTAGTTTCCTAAGGCTACCATAACAAAGTACCAAAAACTAGGTGTCTTCAAACGATCAAAATGTATTGTCTCATAATTCTGTAAGCTAGAAATCCAAAATCAAGGTATCAGCAGGGCCATCCTGTAAAACCTGTAGAGGGGTCTTTCTTTGCCTCTTTCTAGCATTCAGTGGTTTTCTGGCAAGCTTTGGTGTTTCTTGGATTGTAGATGCATCACTTCAATCTTCTATCTTCACATGATGTTTTCTCTGTGTTGCTCTGTCTTCACAAGGCCATCTTCTTATAAGGACACCAGTCACACTGGATTAGGGCCTACCCTATCCAATATGACCTCAACAACTAACTACATCTTACAATGACCCTATTTCCAAATAAGGTCACATTTTGATGTACTGGGGATTAGGTCTTCAATGTATCATTCCTGGGGGGACACAATTCAACCCATAACACTAGCTACATGACTTCACCTCTCTGGATCTTAGTTTCCTTATCTACAAGATAGGAATTATAATCCCTACCTCTCCAGGTTGTTGTATACTAACTGTCAGCACCTAACACATACTAGCAGCTTGATAGATGGTACATTTTATTGGTGCTAGGGAGAACAGACTGAGGCTCCATTTTTAGGCTACAAGGCTAGTTGCATGTTTCTCAGAAAGCAAAACCAGTATGCATACTTAGTGAGTGTGTTCTGATTAGGTGACCAATTATGACCATCCCATTTTTAGGGTTGGCTGGTAAGGCCCTGAGGTGGGTTGCTGTTCTTGCCTCTCATCTAATTAAGGTTTATTTGAAGAGGGGCTTCTGACTTGATATTGCAAGAAGTACATCTATTTCCTCTTTTCATTTGCTCATCTAATTGGCACACTGCACAGGAGGCAGAATGGCTAAGGCAATCAGGTCAGGCTGTCCCAACATCTGAGCCCCAAGCTAGTCTTTCAGCTTTAGACAACATCAACAGAAGTACCTTCTATATATAGGCAGAGCTCAATGGCCTTGACTATTTAGGCAGCAGGAAATAGGTGAGTTTGGTCTCTTTTTGCCACTCAGACTTTCCTGAGGCTCACGACCTGAAAACTGGTTCGTGTGAACCAACAACCCGACTTGAGCACACACCACACTTGAGAAGTCTGCCACCCCATAGGGCCTGGTGAAGACTTCAACACACATATACATCCACACATCCAAATGTGGCCAAAAAGCAGGCAGCAGCTAAAAATGACCATATATCTCCAGAAAGGCTGTCATAGAGGTGAGATGAAGATAAAGCTTCTTTCATTTGGGTGTTATTCCTCCCCTTGAAGAAGGAGGGCAGCAAAGAGCTCAGAGTTAGCAAGGGGAAGTAAATTGATGTCAAAGTGAATCCCACCCAGTAATTCCCAATTCCCTTACTTGGCACACACATTTCCCATGCATCTAGGGCAGTCTGTATTCGCGTAAGTTACTAGTTGAAAAGCAAAAGACATTGTTTGTCAGCACTGACTTGTTGCCCCCACAATATCCCATTGTGACTGACCATAACCTCCTACCCTGTAGTACTCCTCTCATTCACATGTCACCCATTTGTGACAGCTGACAAGGCTCGACCTATGGCTGGAGCAGCAAGTAGCCTGTGTACAGCAAGAAGCCACATAAATGCTAGATGGAAAGTAAAGTGCATACCAGGCAGGAGAGGTGAGGCCAGGTTAGGTGGGCTGTAATCATGTCAGGGTTGAAGATATCTGTGCCCATCCATTCTCCCAGCTCACTACTTACTGGAATATGAACTATCTTACCTGTGTTGATGTTCTAGAACTTGGTTCTTCTCAGTTGAAGATGGTCCCAAAAGAATCCATTTTAAATCTTCCATGGACTGTACAGAGTTCATCCTCTGGGTTTTGGGTGTTACTAGGAAGCTTTGCTTCCTGAACCTGGGGGACAAGCTATCAAGAACTCATTTCTTAATTAGTAAGAGTGATAGCTGGGGGCAAAAGCACAGACTGGGGAGACAGACTCTCTTTTCCAAGAGGAGAAAGTTGAGCCAGTCTCTCTCTATCTCTCTCCTTGCTTCACAAAACAACCTTTAAATTACAGTAAGCATGTAATAGATTCCCTCAGCATCTGACCTCCCTACATGTCCTTGCTAAGACAGTGTTGTATAGAGGGTAGGCTATAGAGTTAAAGAGACCTGGGTTCTGTTTAGCTGTGTGATCTTGAGCAGTAAACTTCTTGAAGTCTGTTTTCTTACTCATGGAATGAGAACAACAGTACCTTGTAAGGTATATATTGTAAGGTTACTGGGAAGATGGAACGAAATCATGTATGTACAGTGCTTGGCATACAGTATGTGCTCAAAACTTCATAGCTCTTACTTAGGGGAACACTGGGATGTCTTCAGGAACTTGAGATCAAGAGTAGGACCCCTGTCCTGGACCCCAAGCTATAGGAGTGAAGCTCAGTGTTAATTGATACTAATCAAAAGGCCTCTCTGCTTGCAAAACTATTAAGCATGCCCAGCCCCAGGAAGAAACCCACAATTTGATTATTTTCTGGATATTACTATTGAGAAAGAAAAGAGCTGGCTATGGGCCAAAGGGATACAAGTTGGCACCTTGTGGTCTCTTGGCCACTAGCAGGGACTGCGAATGAGGGAGAGTGTAAGAGTCTACAAAAGTGCTAGTCATTGGACACTCACTCTTTTTCCTGTCTATGCCAGCTGAGAAGTTCTGAGGATGAGGCCACATTACAAAGCACCCTGGATGCCATGAATAAAGAGTTCAAAAAGCTATCCGAGATAGACTGGATGAATTCGATCTTTGTTTCAGAGGTGGGTAACTTGGGAATTGGGAAATAAAGGGAAAGAGGGATTCTTCCTTAGTGCCTTCCCTTCCAGTGTGGGCCAGGACACAGTGACTGATTGTAGTACAGGGGGTCCAGTGCTGGCTTTCAGCTGAAGCTTACTGGAACTTCCTCCCCACCCACCTTCCCCCAATCTCTTCATCATAAATAGATAGGGTAAGGCAAAAAACATGTAGAAAAATTAGGCAATTATAGAAAAATAACCAGAAAGAAGACTCATTCTGTAGTAAGAGATGATCAACAAAGAATAAACAAGATAGGTTTTCATGTGTTGTTTTCATGTCTGCAAACTCCCCCTCCCTGCTCAGCACCTGCTGCCAGGACTGCACTTCATCTGGGCCCAGGCCATACTGGTGGTTAAATCTTCCAAATATTACCTCTCCCTGCTGCTTCCCGTCCCTCCTGCTCTGGGTTTTCTGGCAACAAAGTTAATCTCAAAATTATGTTTTCCTGAGACCAGTAGTAAAACAAGCACACTTTAGCAGGCCTGAGCTGGAATTACAGAGCCTGCAGGATCTGCACAGCAGAGAGCCGACATTCATAGTAGTTATGTTTAGAGAACCCTCTTTGCATTCCAGACAGGGAAGCAGCTGGCCTGGCAGGCAGGGGGCTTCCCTATAAGAAGGTATTTGGCCAAGAGGCAAGTAAGGGCGCACCAAACTGTATGTCTGAAGGAAGAGGTGTTTTTCCCTAATTCATGCAGAGATGCCATATGAGCTAACAGTGGCCCTAGCAAACTCATCCTTCTAATCCCTAGCCACATGAACTCAGGTGAAATACTTAACTTCTATAAGCTTCTGCTTCTTCATCTCTGATACAGGAATGTTAATAACCACTTTGCAAAGTTGCTTTGAGAGTTGTATGAGAGCATTTATTAATGCTCGTGAGTCACCTGGCACCAAGTAATCTCTTGGTAAAGATCAATTGCTTTCCTAGGGCATGCAACCAGTGATGGGGGATGTTTCTTACACCTGGATAGACAGCATATCTCCCTGTTTTCTGCAGTCATCCTTGTTTACCACTTTTCCAGGACTCTAGAAATTATCTCTGAATATTAGGCAACTAACATTTTGACCTTCCCCTTGTTGTTTCACAGGAAAAATCTTCGGACACTGACAGTAGAAGCCTCAGGCTGAAAATTAAGTTCCCCAAATTGAGAAGGAAAAAGCTAGAAGAGGAACGCAAGCCTGAATCAGGCCAAAGTGTCCAGGGTTTTATTGGTAAGTCTTTCCCTCAGGCAGAGGGGTAATGGAGACTACCCCCAGCAGCCTGGCTACCTCCCAGAAACCTAAAGCCCCAATGTTTGTGGGAATGGTGATGATGAAGGGGAGGCCACCTGGGAGCTAGCAGTAAGTGATACACCTTGTTCAAGATGACACCAAGCCATCTCTTGGACAAGGTGTAAGAAAGTGATATGGACACTTGTAAAAGAAGAACCTGCATGGTCTCCATGACATATACAGAAAACAAAAATGCAAACAGGCCGTGATTTTTCTGCGTGATTCACTCCTAAGGGTCAGGAATAGGTTCTGTGACCTAGCTAAACACTTTTGTTCCTGTTATAGTAAGTGGTAGAAAAGAAACATATCTGTATGTTTCATTGTCTGAATTTTGGTTCCATTCCTTTTTCTTCAGAATTGGCCCTAAACACTATTGATATATCAGTGGGATTCAAAAGAAGTTTCTCTTAGAGTTTTCGGTTATGCCAATTCTGATATCCATGGTGGTCTCTCCTAAATTTTGGTCCTACACAACCTGGAAGCTTGGGAGATGTAGTAATAGTGGACGTGGAAAAAAAGGAACAGGCCAGGCACAGTGGCTCAGGCCTGTAATCCCAGCACTTTGGAAGGCCAAGGCAGGCAGACCTTTTGAGCCCACGAGTTCAAGACCAGCCTGGGCAACATGGTGGAACCCCGTCTCTACAAAATATAAAAAATTAGTAGTGCATGGGGTGTGCACTTGTAGTCCTAGCTACTTGGGAGGCTGAGATGGGAGGATTGCTTGAGCCTGGGAGGCTGAGGCTGCAGTGAGCTGTCTTCGTGCCACTGCTCTTCAGCCTGAGCAACAGAGTGAGACCTCATCTCAAAAGAAAGAGGAATGAAGGAAGGAGGGAGGGAGGGAAGGGGGAAAGGAGGGAGAAAGAAGAAAAGGAAGGAAAGAAGGGAGGAGGGAGGGGGAAAGAAGAGAAGGAAGGAAAGAAGGGAGGCAGGGAGGAGGGAAGGAAAGGAGAAAAGGAGAGAAAGAAAAAAGAAAGGAAGGAGAAGGAGAGAGAAATGAAAGAAAGGAGGAAAGAAAGAAAAAAGAAAGGGACAGAGGGTAGCAGTTTGCTTTCAAGAAACTAAAAATTTGCATGAAATCTGAGAGAGAATCTCTTGGATCAAGCTATATTTTCTCAGGTATGGTCCAACTGGTTTCATTCTCTAAGAGTCTGTCAAATGGGAGAACATGGTGTTTGCAAGCATTTCTAAAGACTGATGGAGTCAATAACAGTTCCATAGATTATCAGGTTCTGAAAATTCATCCCATTTGTCTTTAGCTCACATGGTGTCAGCTGGTTTTCTCTGATAATTCAGAGATGGTTAGTACAATAAGAACAAACCAGTCTCTCCTAACAGACTCTTTACTCTCTTTCGGGTCCACATACTTGGGCATCTGGCAATGTGCTAACCTCATTGTTTCTATACCATTTTTTCCTCTGAAGGTCGTTTGTGGCACCGCAGGCATCGTGAAGATGAAGCAAAGGGTGATGATCCTCCAACACCATCAAGATCTCAGCTGTAGCCCTTGAAAGCTGGAAGAACTCACAGCATTTAGAATTCTACTAAAAAACTCTCAAAACCTCAATACAGGCTAGACTAAATCATTTCAGAACAAACATAAGCACCACCAAGAAAGACCCTCCAATTCTTTATACTAATGCATTTTCCTGGACTTAATCTGGTCTCCTTAGAGGTTTACATTTCCTCATTGGTTCTTGTTCCAAGTTGTCTTGTTCAGTTCTCCTCTTTGTGCATCTTGAGCAACTACAGTATTTGTTGGGATAAGCTCTTCATGAATGGCCCGGGATCGGATCTGTAAAGGATTCAAGGGAGTTCACCTCTTCAGGGAGTTTTGGAATGGTTTTCTCTGACCAGCAGAGAAACTATCAATGCTACGGAATTAATGAAAAACAGACTCCCAGGGAGATGAAGAGAAGGGGGCAGGCAGGACCGCCAGGCTTGGTTGTGTGTCTCCTCGAATCCTTGCCAACTGCAACTTGCAACTTCAGATCTCTTCTAGTTGGCTCATTAAAATGAGAACTGGATCCTGGGGGCTTGACCACTTTCCTTTTAAGATGACCATGTGAAATATCTTTTTGTAGATGTGGTAACCACACGCTCGCTCTCTCTGCAAACCTTTTGCATTTTTCCATGTGTGCATGTATGTCTGCATATGTCCAGGTGGTGCTCTGGTGGCTGGGTGGGCTTGTTGGTTGGAACTCACCCCTCATGGCAACCACACAGGCTCCTCTCCTGCTTCCTTGATCCTAGCCTGCATGCCTCCGTGGAGGGTTTGTCTGCATTCTTGCTGGATTTTTTAACTAAATGTTTTGCTGCTGTGCTGCAGTATAGATTACATATAGAGACATAAAGATGTGTGTATTCACACACACACACACACACACACACACACACATATACACACTTTTAAGAACTGAAAATACAACTCAACCTCTAAGTGACCCTAATTTATTGTGCTAATCCAGGAATTCCTTCCCACTCCCCTTTACCCTACATGACACATACATCTCTACCAACTGCCCTAGTTCTTGGTGGAGCTTCTAAGTCTTTTGGTGCATTTTCAGTGTCTTAGAGGTGGCTGGGATCTATGGCCCAGCTGATTCTGACGCTCTCTTAAAATTCTGAGCCAGGCCATGGAAAGGGGGACAAAAACACCAATGCTCTAGTGAAGGGGGTTAAGCTGGCATGGCTGCCTATTTTTCCTCTATTTGTCCTAGACTCTTCATCAGCAACTGTGTCCTTCCCCAATGAAAAGACTATATGGAGCAACCAGGCCTTGAGCTCTGTGACTTAGATGCCTGAACTAGGGACTGCCTGACAATTAAGTCACAGCCTAGGCCCTTCCCCACAAGCTCCATATTGGCCTGATCTTCTGGACAGGCTGTTGGGTCAGTTCCCAAGTCACCTTCAATCTACCATCTTGTCCTTTTCCCTTGAGTACAGAGGAGCATTCGAGTGATCAGAAAAAACATGGGCCTGGAGAAATGAAGGCTATAAGCCTCTGCTTTCCTGTCATGGTTCTTGCAAATTTCTCATGAAAACAAACTGGTCCTAAATCGCTCCAAATCCTAATTCACATTTTTCAAAAATGCCTTCTCCCAGTCAGGCAAATCTGATTAAACCCCAATGCCCAGAGAGGTTTCTCTGGTCAGCCTTGCATCTTCACCCCACCCTCGAGTCATACCTTTAGTTAAGTGTCCTTTCCCACTTATCAAGAGAAAACTGGCCTCTCCCTACTTCTCAGACAAACTTAGTGTGCTTAATTACCTGATTCAGTCCAATGGCTGGTTCATTGAGGTGCACAATCTAGATTCCAAGCACTGGTTCTCAACTCCGGAACTCCACCAGCCTAAAGCACCTAAACCAGCCACCTGTGCTCCACCTCTGCAGAGGTGAGGAGAAAAATATTAACAAGGGGATAGTCCCCAAATGTCTGATTGCTGTGCGAAACAAATTAAGTCCTAGCTCTACAACTAGAGAAGAAAGTCATTGGAAAAAGATGACAGAAAACATGTAAAGCTTACTTAAGCATAAGAATATGTTAACTCGTTGTACATATTTGAGTAGTGAGTGTGCTATCGCTGTGTCTTTGATTTTCTCTGTATCACTCTTTCTTCCCAGGAACAGGTAGTAGAACAAATTAGGAAGCTCACCATTGCAGCCCGACTTGGCTCCTCCATGGTTGTGTGTGTTAACATCTGCACACACACACTCAAGGAGTTGGGAACCAAGTTGCATTTGCTTCTGAAGAGCTTTTTCTGAAGGGGAAAATTTCCAAATGAGCAAATTTAGGACAACAGAAGGAAGTCCTGGGAGAGGGTATCTTTATTTCGGCAGTCACTAAGCAGGGCTGTGTCTTGTAATTATTTTTATCACTGATGATAGTAAACTAATAGGACTCCATCTCTTGTGCTTACTTTGCTGCAATAGTTAGGTCTTTGTGCACAGTGATGCTGCTGTTGTTCTGTTGTGCCATGTGATTCCCTTTCACCCACCCTGTCCTCCCACTCTGAGTCAGAATGATACTGAATGAAACCGCTGGTATCTGGGGCTACAGTCAGCTCGTGCAGTACAGTTGATAGATGACAAGGCCCAGGAGCAGGTGTGGCTTGCTCAATCCCTCAGTTACCTCCTAAATTGCCAAGTTACCAGTAGTTTCCCTAAAAGAAAGACAGCTTGCCAAGCACCTTGTGTATGCTGACTTGGAAACAAAGCAAGAAGTGATCCCTCTCTCAAGGGAGTTGTCTTAGCCTCTGGATGTGTGAGCTCCTTTAAGAACTTTGTTAACTATTTGCAGTAATACAATTGATTGGGTGGTGGGACCAAACACCAAATATCCATCTCAATTATGTTCAGACATCATTAAGATCCAAAGCTCTAGGGTTTGGTTTTATCTTTGGTATTACTTTCTGAGGAATTGATTGGGTAGGCAATTCCTGGCCAGAAGAATAGTGGGGAAGAAAAAGCCCATAGATCTGAACTACCACCAACTGCCTCTGGTGTCAATACTATAGGAGGTCAACAGTTATGGGTCCCCTCCAGAAAGGCCCTATGCTGCATCCATAAGGGCAGGGGATAAGAAAAAGATTTTTTTACCTTAAAACTGAGCCAGAAGAAACAGTCAGGGTCAACATCATCTTCCCTCAGGACACAGATGGAAGAATTTTTGTTTCACAAGAGGTGGAAACTAATACCAAAGCAACCAAACCCATTAGCACCATTCCATCCTATATGAGACCTTGATTGGCTACATGGTTTATAGAATTGTATTTGTCTATTTGTCAGCTAATCTGTAATCCATTGTTATTTTCTGCTCTGTGCTTTTTATTTCCTTAGAGGCCCCTGCAAATAAGCAGCAGGGCCAGGGGCTGGTTGGGGGAGGAAGCTGGGTTAGTCACAGGGTAACTGGAAAAAGCAGAAAGAAAAGGTCCACAAAGTGTGCTTATTCCTCTCCCCCCACCAAATAGAACACCAGTCCTCAAAGTTAATAAAGTAGTGCTTCTTGAAATATTTTAATAAATGAATAAACATAATCAATTCCAGTGCCTCATCATTTACCTCAAGCATGGGGGAAGTTGAATGGTGGTGGAAATGGTGGGCAGGTGGGCTTGGGTGGTCATCCAAGCTCTAAACAAGCCACATGCAGGTCAGGATGGCAGGTAAGGGAAGGCAGCAGCAGCACAAGCCAAGAATCTCCATCAGGTATGATCATCATACTAAAAGGGCTGCCACAAAGAATTCTAAAACCTAGCTGCAACTCTGGATGATCCTGTGGGGAAATATCTGCCACTGTAATTGTTCCAGGAGCTAATTCTCCACAGGATACAAATCTTAATGGAATACATTAGTTACTGGGGAGGTAAAGTGGGATAAAGTATAGCCCAGACTGTTAAATAAATGCATAAAGCACCTCGAAAATCTCTTGACAATACCATCTATTCCCCGCCCAACACATACATCACACACTCGTCTCCTCTCCGGAGGAGTTTGAGGTGGGAAGGCATATTCTGTTCAAATGCAAAATCAGTTCAGCTCAGCACTAAATATGGTTTAATTTCTGTCACACTAATAATGACCCCAGGGGAGCCAGTTCTTAGTCACATTTAACAGGTAGGAAACTGAGGCTGTATTAGGCCAGGGGTCCACAACACACTACACCAGGGTGAAAACTTGAGTCTTCTAAATCCCTGATTTTCCAAACCAAAAACTGTCTTATTTAGAGACAAAACATTTGTGACCTTCGGGACCACATTTCAGTCTACACCCATAAAAACTACATTCTTGGGCTTTATGAGGGGAAACAGCCCTGCTGTTGAGGCATTACCACCAGGGTGTGCCCTGTAATCCATATTAAGAAGTCTGTACAGCACCCTGTAGGCTAGGCTAGTGAAGCACCATCAGAATTGAATTTTAAGTCTATTTTTCGAATAATCATGCAATTGCCCTTTTCTTTTGGTGTAGAGTTCCATGAATTTTAATATGTGTAGACATTCATGTAACCACCACCATCAGGATACAGAACAGTTTCCACTGCCCTATAAATGTCCTTCATATCATTTCTTTATAATCACACCTTAACTCTACTTCTAACCACTGATCTATTTTTACACCACTATGATTTTGTGCTTTCAAGAATGTCATAGAATATGTGTAATCTTTTGAGGCAGGCTTCTTGAATTCAGCAAAATGCCCTTCATGTTCTTTCAAGTTGTCGTGTGAATCAACAGTTTGTTCCTTTTAATTGCTGAATGGAATTCAATTACATGGATCCACCAGTTTATCCATTCATCCACTGGAGGTCCTTTGGGTGGTTTCCAGTTTCTTTGATCCATGGATTATTTAAAGGTATGTTATTTCCAAGTGTTTGGAGATTTTATTATTATTTATCTGTTATTGATTTCTTGTTTAATTCCATTGTGGCCAAAGAACACACTCTGCATGATTTCTATTATTTTTAATTGGTTAAAACTTGTTTTATGACCTCGGGTATGGCCTACCTTG